CCCTGCTCCAACCTCTGGGTTATTAAAAAGCTGCAGAGACTCTTGCAGTGGCTTAAGGGTAGATGGCTGTCCAGTTTATCAGATGCAGACTGGAGTGTGATCTTCACAAACAGCTACTGCTCCAAAAAAGTGAAGCAGAGCTGTGAAACGTATGTCCTTGAGTAATAATTATTGTATTTTTAATATCTGAAATCAGTGCCTGTTTTTGGTATCATTATTCCAGGCAAAAGTAAATTATCCCTTGAAAGGTACTTTATAATTCAGCTTTTCCTAACCTTTCCAGAATGCTTGCGTGGCCATTCTTTAACTGTGTAAATTGGGTTAATATATCCAACACATGTCCTTCTATTTTCCCCACAGCAACAACCCTGTGAGGTGGGTTGGGTTAAGAGAGAGAGGGAACTGGCCTAAAGTCACCCAGCTGGCTTTCATGCCTAAGGCAGGACTAGAACTCCCAGTCTCCTGGCAATAGCCAAAGTCACCCAGCTGGATTTCATGACCAGGTTGGACTTGAACTCATGGTCTCTGGTGTTTCTATTCTGGTGCCTTCACCACTAGTCCAAACTGGCTCTGATCATCTTAACTCACAAAGTAGGCTATAATAAGATGTTGAGACTCTAGAACAGGGGTCTTCAAACTCGGCCCTTTTATGACTCATGGACTTCAACTTCCAGAATTCCTCAGCCAGGCACACTAGCTAAGGAATTCTGGGAGTTGAAGTCCACAAGTCATAAAAGGGCCGAGTTTGAAGACCCCTGCTCTAGAAACATATAAAACATATAAGGAACGGCTGCTGGAACTGGGAATGGCTAGTTTGATGAAGAGAAGGACGAGGGGGGACATGATAGCAGTCTTCCAATATCTCAGGGGCTTGTCCCAAAGAAGAGGGAGTCAAGATACTCTCCAAAGCGCCTGAAGGCAGGACGAGAAGCAACGGATGGAAACCAACCAAGGAGAGAAGCAACCTAGAACCAAGGAAAAATTTCCTGACAGTCGGAACAATTAATCAAAGGAATAGCTTGCTTCCGGAAGTTGTGGGTGCTCCAATACTGGAGGATTTCAAGAAGCGCTTGGACGACCATTTGTCTGGAATGTTATAGGGTCTTCTGCTTGAGCCGGGGTTTGGATTAGAACAGGGGTCCCCAATCCCTGGTCCGTGGACCAGTATCAGGCTACGGCATGTCAGCAACCGGTCCACACAAATAAAGCCCCATCCGCGAGATGTAGGCAGCACACAAAATCACACTCCCTTCGGTCCATGGAAAAACCTCTTTCCACGGAACCGGTCCCTAGTACCCAAAGGGTTGGGGACTCTGGATTAGAAAACCTCCAAGGTCCCTTCCAGCTCTTGTTATTCTATATTCTGTGTTCTGGAGTCTCCATAAATTTCTGCGGTGGCCTCTAAGAACTTTAATACTGAAGTATCTTTGTTGTTGGTCATTTTAATACCCATGAAGAAACTTACAATACAATACAATAACAGAGTTGGAAGGGACCTTGGAGGTCTTCTAGTCCACCCTCCTGCTCAGGCAGGAAACTCTATACCAGTGGTGGCGAACCTATGGCACGGGTGCCAGAAGCGGCACTCAGAGCCTTCTCTGTGGGCATGCACGCCATCGCCCCAGTCCTAGGCCTTCAGCTGGGTTTTATAAAACCTTTTTGTTTTAGGCCTCCGCTGCCATGTGCAAAAAAAAAAAAAAAAGAAAAGAAATTCAATCAATCAGTCAATTTCAACTTCTCACAGGAAAAAAAAGATCTTGCAAAGTTGGAATTGATTGATTGAACTTTTTAGTCCCACCCAGTCTGTCATTACCACTGCAGCCACGCCCACCCAATGGGCCACACCCACCCAATGGGCCACACCCACCCAATCGGCCACACCTACCCGGTACTCGACGATGCATAAGTGGGTTTGGGTTGCAGTTTGGGGCTCTCAGTCTCTAAAAGGTTCGCCATCACTGCCTTATATCATTTCAGACAAATGCTTATCCGATCTTTTCTTAAAAGCCTCCAGTGTTGCAGCACCCACAACTTCTGGAGGCAGGTTGTTCCACTGATTAATTGTCCTCACTGTCAGGCAATTTCTTTTTAGTTCTAGGTTGCTCCTCTCCTTGATTAACTTAAGAGAAGCCAATTTATAATCTAGGCTTTTCGGGAATCACAAGCCTGAATAATCGCTGTAATGATTTTGCAAAAGGCAGAACGGGATCCCAGATTGGGACCAGGTGTTCCACAAACAAACAAACAAACAAACAAACAAACAAGACGAAATAAAAGGCCTCCTTTTAATAGTTTTCAAGTAAAGGATGTTTAATGAATTATTGATATTTGATTGTGTCCGGAATACAATTGATGGGGCACAGGGGAGATCTAAGCAGATTTTTTTTTTTTTTTTACCAAGTGTGCCATAAATGACAATTTTGTTTGTTTTATTGCCTTGAACTGTCTTTCTGGAGCCAAAGATTTTTTGCTGAACTTCTGCAGTTCCTCACTGTGTCAGCAGTCCAGCTGATGCTGATCAGAACGGGCACGTATTTGATGGTGGAACCGCTTTAGATGAAAAGGCACTAAATCTTGGAAGCTTTCATGCTCCCTTTTACGATATTTCTGGTGTGGAATCTGCATTTTTTTTTGTTTTCCTGCTGATTCATATGATCTTCAGGTTTTCTGATCGTCTCCGAGGAGCGTCCTGTTCTTCAGACAGGGACGTTGTGGCCAGACGTTATTTGGATTTTTTTGTTTTGTTAATCAAATAATGCTTTTACTCATGGGCAAACTTCCCACCGAAAAGAAATGGAATTTGGGAATCTTGGACAGCCAACTGATTAATGGTATTAAAGCCATACAGGTGGATCTCGACTTATAAGCGGTTGTTTAGTGACTGTTTGAAGTTACGACGAACCTGAAAAAGGGGATTTGAATTTGAAGTTCTGATGCTCAGAACATGCACAAAGATTTGCAGCATTTTGTGGTCATGTGACTGCATGGCATGGTGGTTTTCCTGAAAATGGTTACATGTCCAGCGTTTGGCAAAACCACAACTGTAATTAACTATTGACTCACTTTACAGCTGTGTTCACTTACCGACTGCTGCAAGAAAGTTCGTAAAATTAGATCGGTTACATAACTTTTCCCTCAGCGTGGCTGGCTCAGGAATTCTGGGAGTTGAAGTCCACAAGTCATAAAAGAGCCAAGATTGCCTATCCCTGGTATAGGGTCTCCTGTTCGAGCAGGGGGTTGGAGTAGAAGACCTCCAAGGTCCCTTCTAACTCTGTTGTTCTGTAAATGCCCCACTGTGTGGTGGTTAGTTTCCTCTTTAGAATCTCAAAGGTACTTTTTCAGGAGGCAACTGGACTTTCTTGTTTTTCCTTAGAAGATGTCTCGCTTTTCACCCAAGAAGATTCTTCAGCTCTGACTGGATGGTGGGGAATGGAGAAATTTGTACTCCTTGCAGACAGCTGGTCATTTGCCTTCTTTTAGAGAGCTGTTGAGGCCACTTGGAGATTTATCTGTGTCCTCGGGGTCATCTGAGTGGTGCAAAGGGGTGTGGAGCCTTCTTGGAACTGCTGAAAGGACCGTGTTGTACACTGGAGATGGATGATGTCGTATCCCTCCCCCTCTGTTGAGAGAGGGCTGTTCAAAATTCAAAATTGAACAATGTCTCTTGAAAAAGCACCTTTGGGACAACCATGACCTGGATGACTGAGAATATCCGTAGACCAGGGGTAGGCAACCTTGGCTCTTTTATGACTCGTGGACTTCAACTCCCAGAATTCCTGAGCCAGCCATGCTGAGGGGACAGGGCGAGGTTTCCAAGCTGAGCCATGTTGGCTCAGGAATTCTGGGAGTTGAAGTCCACAAGTCATAAAAAAGCCAAGGTTGCCTACCCCTGCCCTAGACATTCCTTTTTGGAGGTAATTTTTAAAAAATCACCTTCATATTATTAGGGCACCAATCGCACCCACGTCGAGAATCTCACCAATATTCGAAGGTGAATTAGCAGTGATGCTAGTCCAAACCAGATGAATGCTTTAAGGCAGTTTGCATAAGCTGAGGTTTTCATGTTTTCGGCACAGAAGGTGCCGTGTCTTGTGGCTTCTTCTGCTTGCTTGCTTGACTCATTCTGCTGGTTGTTGATGTCCCTTGTGGAAAAGCAAGGGTGGTTTCATAATAGCCGGGCAATCAGTTGCTGCAAATCGTGTTGTGTCAAAGATAAAAGAACATTGCTTCCATGTTTGCTGGCCGCAGTTATTAAGTGAATCACTGCAGTTATAAAGTTAGTCACATGGCTGTTAAGTGAATCTGGCTTCCCTATGGACTTTGCTTGTCGGAAGGTCACAAAATGGTATAGAGTTTCCTGCCTGAGCAAGGGGTTGGACTAGATGACCTCCAAGGTCCCTTCCAACTTTTATTATTATTATTACTTTATTATTATTATTATTATTATTATTATTATTATTATTAAAAGGGGATCGTGTGACCCCTGGGACACTGCGACACAATGAAAGTCTGTTGCGAAGGTTCTGTATTTTGATCACCTGATCACGGGGATGCTGCAAAGGCCATAAGTGTGTAAAATGATCATAAGTCACTTTTTTCCTGTGGCCATTGCAAGTACAAATGGTCCCTAAGTGAACTGTTATAAGTTGAGGACTATCTGTAGCCTTATAATAAACGCAGTGTTAGCATGCACCACTAGTTTCCTACTCTGGTCTACCTTGAAATGCTGAAATAAATACTCCATTTATACCAAATGCTAAGCTTGGTTAGTTTTTTTTTTTTTGGTGGCTTGGTCCAAAATGCCAACCAAAAGTTTTGGTTTCCAATATTGTGTGTGAATTCAGAATATGTATTAACACTTTAATCACATTAAACAGTTTATATGAAGCAACCTGTCATTTATGGCCTGGAAGAAAAATAGAATGCAACAAGTCCATCACTGGCTGAATTAATGTTTTTTTTCCCCTCTTTCTGTTTTATTTTGTTTCTGTGCTGTCCAGTTTTCTGCTGGTTTTCTCCTGCTTAGTCCTCTCTGTCTTTTCCACCATCGATGACTACGAAGAGAGTTCTGAATGGGCCCTTTACAGCCTGGTAAGTGGGATGCTAAACATCTAAGACTAAAATCCAGGAAGGGGAGCCATTCATTTGGCGAATAAGAACCGAACGGAACAGAACAGAACAGAATAGAACAGAATATATGGAATGGAATGGAATGGAATAGAAGAATGGAATGGAATAAAAGAATTGGATGGAATGGAATGGAATGGAAGAGAAGAGAATAGAAGAGAAGAATGGAATGGAATGGAATGGAATGGAATGGAAGAAGACTATCCTATCCTATCCTGTCCTGTCCTGTCCTGTCCTATCTTATATAGAATAGAATAGAATGGAATGGAATGGAATGGAATGGAATAGAAGAATGGAATGGAATAGAAGAATAGAATGGAATGGAATGGAATAGAAGAATATAATGGAATAAAAGAATGGAAGGGAAAGGAAGGGAAGAGAAGAGAAGAGGAGAGGAGAGGAGAGGAGAGGAGAGGAGAGGAAAGGAGAGGAAAGGAGAGGAGAATGGAATGGAAGAAGACTATCCTATCCTGTCCTGTCCTGTCCTGTCCTGTCCTATCCTATCCTATCCTATCCTATCCTATCCTATCCTATCCTATCCTATCCTATCCTATATAGAATAGAATAGAATAGAATAGAATACTTTAATGGCCAAGTGTAATTGGACATACAAGGAATTTGTCTCTAGTACGTAAGGTCTCAGTGTACATACACACAACAAAGTAACATAATCATAAGATACCAGTAAGAGAAGGTGGTAGAAAAGATGAGAAGGATAATATTAACACAGCCATATTACATGGGTAAATATCCTTAGATATAAGACAGAACTGTGGGAATTAGGTCTTCCACAGAATGATGGCACAGGGGAAAAAAATCTTTGTGTCTAATTGTTTTGGCATGCAGTGCCCTATAGCATTATTATACCTATAATACAGGGTATTATATCAATAATACAGGTAGTCTTCAACTTATGACCACAATGGAGCCCAAAGTTTCTGTTGCTAAGCGAGGCAGTTGTTAAGTGAGTTTTGACTGCATGATTCATTTAACAACTGCAATGATTGAGTGGTTGTAAAATCAGATGTGTCTCCCTTAACAACCACAGCAATGGAAAACCTGGCCCTAATTTGGCAATAAGTTAAAGACTACCTATCTAAGTGTAGGTGGGCAACATAAACAATCCACTGAAAAGATTTTCTTTGAAGTTTTATAAAGCTGAGAAGGACAAGATTGAAATAGGCTGCAAATTAAAAAAAAAATCCGAAGTAGATTTTATAAAAAACTTTGGGATTATTCCAGAAAGCTCCCTTGCTGTGAACAGTTTCAGCTGTACCAGAGTTTCTTGGAAAACAAAAACGAACAGAGAACTGTTGTGTCAGGATTGTCGTATGTTGTTATGCTAACTATACTAACAAGCTCTGTCTCTGCTGCAGGAAATTGTCACTATTGTGGTCTTCGGAGTAGAGTACTTTGTGAGGATCTGGGCAGCTGGCTGCTGTTGTCGGTACCGAGGCTGGAGAGGAAGATTAAAATTCGCCCGCAAGCCCTTTTGTGTGATCGGTAAGAACCATTTCATGGCTAAGTTGTTGATGCTAACCTCAATCTCCCTCCAGGAGAGGATGGGAGTCTTGCCAGAGAGGTCAGGACTGCATTTGCTATAATTTGCAATCAGTGTGGAGCTGTTGTCTCAACAAAATCGGGGGGGGGGGGCACCAGTTTGGGAACTGCTGATCTTCAGAGCAAAGCTCAGGTGGAGGTGAAAATGTAAGAAAGTTGGGGGTTAAATGATTCTTGTACTGTATATCCCAGGATGGGAAAATGGAGAAACATTGGACTGAGCAGGAGGGAGGGGCTGTGTTACATAGGAGCAAGACACAATGCAGCTTAGATCAGTGGTTCTCAACCTTTTTAATGCCGTGACCCCCAACCAGTCATAAGTCGAGGACTACTCAACCGGTCGTAAGTCGAGGACTACTCAACTGTCGCAGCACCGTTTGCAGAATGGGACTTTTGGCCGGCTCAGCAGGGCAGAGACAGCCTGGACAATTCCTATTGGCTTTTGAAAGCCAATAGAATTAGACTCTATTCAAGAGAGTCTATTCTATTGGCTTTCAAAAGCCAATAGAATAAAAGGGAGTAGCACAGCTAAGGAAAAGGGGGGAAAAATGGCGGACTGCGTTGTTTGGCGACCCCTGTGAAATGGTCATTCAACCCCAAATGGGGTCCCGACCGACAGGTTGAGAACCGCTGGCTTAGATAGTTTGTGTATGAGAAAGAGGGTGAACATGGCTGTTCCTTACTACTGTATCTTTTGTGGGTTTGGGAGCCTAGCCTGACCTACTTACCTTCCTTCCTTCCTTCCTTCCTTCCTTCCTTCCTTCCTTCCTTCCTTCCTTCCTTCCTTCCTTCCTTCCTTCCTTCCTTCTGGCAGTAGCAGGGACAAGAAGCGTATTTCTAAAATAATCAAGAATGACAGCAAGGACTGTGATGTGGAGGCTATTGTACATCTTGGCACTAACAATCTGTCCCAAAAAGATGTACACTCTGTGCAGAATGATTTCCAGAGCTTGGGGAAGGAACTTAGCAGAATAGGCTGTAGGCTTACTTTCTCAGAGGTTTTACCAGTGTATAAGGAGCAAAATGGAAAAGGCCAGCGCATAGCACAATTCAATATGTGGCTAAAGGAGTGGTGTAAAGGGGAAGGCTTTGGATATATTAGTCACGATGTCTGTAGTTGGTCCAATGAAAAGATGTACAAAAGAGATGGCTTGCATCCATCAAAGAAAGGGACTCAGCTATAAATGTACAGATTTTCTGGAGGAAAATTTAAACTAAACAGTGGGGACAGTGAGTTAATTGATACCGAACAACCCTGTCCCCAGCAATATAAAAATTATAGGGCTATCAGTGCATGTAACATAGAGGTGTGTGTGGACAAGAATACCAACCTTGTTGTCAAGCAAAAACAAGCCTCCAACAGCGAGTGCCACACAAAGTGCACTAACCAAATAGGTGGTAAGACAATAGGGGAACTTAGGCACCACACAGGTTATGTAGAAAGTAAACACAGGGCCAGTCATAAAGGACTCAAATGTCTATACACCAATGCACAGAGTATGAACAGCAAACAGGGTGAATTAGAAACTCAGGTTAATGAGGGCAGATATGATATTGTTGCCATTACGGAAACATGGTGGGATGAAACCCACACATGGAACACACAGCTAGAGGGATTTAAATTATTTAAAAGAAACAGACCAAATAAAAGAGGAGGTGGAGTTGCTCTCTCTATAAGAAATAAATACATCTCTACAGAAATAGAACACAATGATGATAAAAACTGTCTTGAATGCATTTGGGTCAATATAAAAGGGGAAAAAATGACATTGCCATAAGCCACCCAACCAAACAGAGGAAATAGATGAACTTTTTGCTAGTCAGCTAACTAAGTATGTAGGAAGCACATCACCATAGTAATGGGGGACTTTAATTACCCTGACATCAACTGGGAGACAAACTCTGCACCAAATGGAAGATCAAACAGATTCCTGACAAACCTAGCAGACAACTTTGTCTCCCAAAAAGTAGAGAAGGGAACTAGGTGATTAGCCATTTTGGATCTAATTCTCACTAACAGAGATGAAATGATAGAAGGTGTTGAAGCCACAGGAACCTTGGGAGGTAGTGATCATGCAATATTGGAATTCAACATTATGGAAGCACAAGCAATAGAACATAGTCAAACTAGAGTCTTGGACTTCAAGAGAGCTAATTTCAATAAACTTAGAGAGAGCTTGGGAAGGATTCCATGGAGGAGAATCCTCCAGGAGAAAACAACTCAAGAAGCTTGGGAAATTTTGAAAAATGAGATAATAAAAGCCCAGTCTCGCACAATACCAACAAAGAGGAAAAATAACAGCTCACAAAAGAAACCAGCATGGCTGCATAAAGAACTCTCTGACAAATTGAAAGATAAAAAGGACAAGTATAGAAAGTAGAAAGAGGGGCACAAAACTAAGGCAGAATATCAGCAAATAGCCCGAGCCTCCAAAGACGAAGTGAGGAAAGCCAAGGCTCAAAATGAATTAAAGCTTGCGACCAAAGTCAAAGATAACAAAAAAAAAAAGCTTCTTTCAACATGTAAAAAACAAGAAAAAAGTGAAGGAAACGATTGGTCCATTAGTAGGTGAAAGTGGCAAGAAGGTGACAAGCAATAGGGAGAAAGCAGAACCATTTAACTCATTTTTTGCATCTGTCTTTACACAAAGGGAAAAAAACAGACCAATCTATCAAAAATAGTGCCATAAAAAACAGAATAGAAACACAAGTTAAGATAGGCAAGAAAATGGTAAGTGAGCACCTGTCCAGCCTAGACGAGTTCAAATCGCCAGGACCAGATGGATTACACCCCAAGGTTCTTAAAGAACTGGCAGATGTGATCTCCGAACCACTGAACTACAGTATATTTTTCAAAGATCCTGGAGCACTGGGGAACTACCAGAGGACTGGAAAAGAGCTGATGTAGTTCCCATCTACAAAAAAGGAAAAAAAATGGACCCAGGAAATTACAGACCTATCAGCCTGACCTCAATACATGGGAAGATCCTGGAAAAGATAATCAAACAATGAATCACCGAACACTAGAGGCAAACAAAGTCATTACTAAAAGCCAACATGAGTTTGTCAAAAATAGATCATGCCAAACAAATCTTATTGCATTCTTTGACCAAGTGACAAAATTAGTGGATCAGAGGAATGCTGTGGATATAATTTACTTGGACTTCAGTAAGGCATTTGATAAAGTAGATCACAACCTACTACTTCACAAGATAGAAAAATGTGGGGTAGACAGAATCACCACCAGATGGATCCGTAGCTAGCTGACCAGCCGTACTCAGAGTGTGGTCCTCAATGGAACCGCATCTACATGGAGGGAAGTGTGTAGTGGGGTGCCCCAGGGCTCTGTTCTGGGCCTAGTGCTCTTCAACATCTATATCAACGATTTGGATGAGGGGATAGATGGAGAGCTCATCAAATTTGCACACGACACCAAGCTGGCAGGAATAGCCAACACTCCAGAAGACAGGCTTAGGATATAGAAGGATTTGGACAGACTTAAACACTGGGCACTAACTAACAAAATGAAATTCAATGGTGAAAAAAGCAAGGTTCTACATTTAGGCAAGAAAAAACAAATACACAGGTATAGTTTAGGGGGTACCTTGCTCAATAGCAGTAACTGTGAGAGGGAACTCGGAGTCCTAGTGGACAATCACCTAAATATGAACCAGCAATGTGCTGCAGCTGCCAAAAAGGCCAACGCAGTACTAGGCTGCATTAGAGGGATAGAATCAAGATCATGTGAAGTATTAATACCACTCTTCAATGCCTTGGTAAGGCCACACTTGGAATACTGCATCCAGTTTTGGTCACCGTGATGCAAAAAAGATGTTGAGACTCTAGAAAGAGTACAGAGAAGAGCAACAAAGATGATTAGGGGACTGTAGGCTAAAAACATATAAGGAACAGCTGCTGGAATTGGGCATGTCTAGTTTAATGAAGAGAAGGACCAGGGGGGACATGATAGCAGTGTTCCAATATCTCAGGGGCTGCTACAAAGAAGAGGGAGTCAAGCTATTTTCCAAAGCGCCTGAAGGCAGGACAAGAAGCAACGGATGGAAACTAATCAAGGAGAGAAGCAACCCAGAACTAAGGAGAAACTTCCTGACAGTTAGAACAATTAACCAGTGGAACAACCTGCCTCCAGAAGCAGTGAATGCTCCAACACTGGAAGTTTTTAAGAAGAGACTGGACAGCCATTTGTACGAAATGGTATAGGGTTTCCTGCATGAGCAGGGGGTTGGACTAGATGACCTCCAAGGTCCCTTCCAACTTTACTATTATTATTATTATTATTATTATTATTATTATTATTATTATTATTATTATTATTATTATTATTATTATTATGGATCATCGCACAGTCAGCCAGATGTTCAGACTGGATTTGGCTACCATTTCAATCCTGGTTCTAGGAAACTTGGCTTGCTCCCAAAGGATGCGTGTTTGCACAAACCCTGGATTACTACTTGGTCCACAGTTGAGGGGAAACCAAGAAAGGGAAGAAATAAATAAACAAGGAGGGAAGGAAAAAGTAGGAAAAAAAAACATCGCATTGAATAAAGAAATCTGAGAATAATGTTTTATAGCAGGGATGTCCAACCCTGGCAACTTTAAGACTTGTGAACTTCAGCTCCCAGAATTCCCCAGCCAGCCAGCAATTCCCCCTCCACAAGTCTTCTCCAGCGTTGGATATCCATACTTTACAGTAAAATGAATAATCAAGCAGTGACCTTAAATTAAGGATTGCTGTAGGCAATTTATGCAAACCTAAATTGGAACCCATTGCTTGTGGAGTTCAGTATATTTCTGGTCATGGGGCCAAATTGCCACAGTATAAGTAATTTCTGGAAATCTACTCAAAGTCCCTACCAGCTAATCTAGGGCTGACATACGTGGCTTTAAGTAGAAATAGTGGTCAAACACAAGGCCTGTGTTCACGGACAAAACACTACCTTAAACCTTTGGAAGAGAATCTCTGTAGCTCAGGGTTGAACTGTGGGGTCCTTGGTGCTCCCTGAGCTTAGTTATTTTCTTGCAGATGTTCCATTACCCAACTAGGTAAGGTCATCAGTGTTAGAAGGGAGTGGGGGACATGGGGGGAGGGGGAGGAGGGAAAGGAGGAGGGAGAGAAGGAGGAGGAGGGAAAGGAGGAGGGAGAGAAGGAGGAGGAGGAAGAGGAGCACTGTGGGGTCCTGGGTGCTCTCTGAGCTTGGTGGTTTTCTTGCAGACGTTTCATTACCCAACTAGGTAACATCATCAGTATTAGAAGGGAGTGGGGAGGAGGGGGAGGAGGGGAAGAAGGAGGGGGGGGAGGAGGAGGAGGGGGAGGAGGAGGGGAGGAGGAGGAGGAGGAGCACTGTGCGGTTCTGGGTGCTCTGTGAGCTTGGTTGTTTTCTTGCAGACGTTTCATTACCCAACTAGGTAACATCATCAGTGTTAGAAGGGAGTAGGGAGGAGGGGGAGAAGGAGGAGGGGGAAGAGGAGGGGGAGGAGGAGGAGGAGAGGAGGACTGTGAGGTCCTTGGTGCTCTCTGAACTTGGTTGTTTTCTTGCAGACGTTTCATTACCCAACTAGGTAACATCATCAATGTTAGAAGGGAGTGGGGGATATGAGGAGGAGGAGGAAGAGGACTGTGGGGTCCTTGGTGCTCTCTGAACTTGGTTGTTTTTCTGCAGACGTTTCATTACCCAACTAGTTAATATCATCAGTGCATCCTTCATACTGATAATGTTACCCAGTTGGGTAAGGAAAACAACCAAGCTCAGAGAGCATCACAGGAAAGTTTGCTGAAGGGGCAGCCGTATCCTTGGTTTGTCTCAAAAAATGCTCGACTTGGTTGCTGGGTGCTCTTTATCTTTCATCTTTGTTTATTTATATTTATTTAAATCTGACCTTTGCTATTTCTACAAGTAACTCAATGTGGGGAACATACCAAATAATGCTTCCTTCTATTTTTCCCTACAACAACCCTGTGAGGTGGGTTGGGAGGGGAGTGGGGACTGGCCCAAAGTCACCCAGCTGGCTTTCATGCCTAGGGTGGAACTAGAACTCAGAGCCTCCTGACGATTGGCCCAAAGTCACTCAACTGGCTTTCATGCCTAAAGCAAGACTAGAACTCACAGGCTCCTGGTTTCTGGCTTGGTGCCTCCAACATTGGATCCAACTAGCTCTTGTATTAGAATGCTCAGGAAATGCTAAACCTTTAGAGCAGGGGTCTTCAAGCTCAGCCCTTTTATGACTTGTGGACTTCAACTCCCAGAATTCCTCAGCCAGCATTGCCTGTTTGCGCTTCTACCTACAAGTATGGCCATGGAGTAAGTATATTTTACTAGGAATTTGAAATAGTAGCTATGAATGGAAAATATTGCATCTTGAGGATTCCTATCAGTTAGTTTTACAGATTCTTACTTAAATTACAATATCTTATTCAACTTGAATATCATAGAAAAATCATTTAGTCTTCCTTCCTTCCTCCTCCCCTGCCCCCCCTCCCTCCCTTCCTTCTTTTCCTTCCTTCCTTCCTTCCTTTCTCCCTCCTCCCCTCCCCTCCTTCCTTCCTCCTTCCTTCCTTCCCTTCCTCCCTTCCTTTCCTTCCTTCCTTCCTTTCTCCTTTCCTTTCCTTTCCCTTCCATTCCCTTCCCTTCCCTCCCTTCCTTCCTTCCTTCCTTCCTTCCTTCCTTCCTTCCTTCCTTCCTTCCTTCCTTCCTTCCTTTCTTCCTTCATTCCTCCCTCCCTCCCTCCCTCCATCTATCCATCCTTAGAATGTAGTCCAGGGTCCCTGGAGGAGGGGCTGCATTCCAGAGGAGCAAGAGACAATGCAGCTTAGATAGTTTGTGTATGAGAAAGGGGGCAAAGACAGATCCTTCTTAACAGTTCCCAGAATATATGTTTTAGGGTGCAAATAGTCCACTTTACTTCGGCAAGATTTCTGCCTATAGGTGAGGAACAATAAGGGAAACTGCTTAGAAGAATCTCACGTGTCTTTTTTGGTTTTTGGAGTCTGGCAGATTCTTTGATATAGTCCTCTTCCTTCGATACAGACATCATGGTGTTAATTGCTTCCATCGCTGTGCTGGCTGCTGGGTCACAGGGGAACGTTTTCGCCACCTCGGCTCTCAGAAGTTTGCGTTTCCTGCAGATCCTGCGCATGATTCGAATGGATCGCAGAGGAGGCACCTGGAAGCTTCTGGGATCGGTGGTGTACGCCCATAGCAAGGTGACGTCTGAGACCTCGGGAAGCTCTCGGTTGTGTAAGGTCCGAGCGGGCTGAGGTCAATCTGAGCCGCCAAATTGGTTGCTGTTTTTGGGAGACAGGTTGGGCTTTAATTCCCAGAATTCTTAAACAGCACAAAGGATTCTGGGAACTGAGAGCTAGCAAATGATGGAGGGCTCTTTTATGGGGTGGTCCTATTAAGAAAGTTAAAGTTTACTCTGCAATTGTTTTTGTTGGGTATTATTGTAGATTTTGATGTTAAAGAAATTAATTTGATGTTGAACCTTATAACAGCTGCAAGATTATTGGTGGGGCAATATTGGAAGAAAAACTTATTGCCTACTTTGGAAGAATGGATACTTAAAGTGTCTAATTTAGCAGACATGGCGAAAATCTCCGCCTATTTGAAGGATCATTCACAAGAAAAATATATTATGGTTTGGAGAAGATGGATTGATTATATTCAGAAGAAATATGAGATTGAAAACTATTATCTTGCTTTTGAGTAGATTCTAGTTAAGTATTATTAGTTTTAATTATTTTACTATTTTTGACTTAATTTGTTAATATTTGTTGGGGGAGTTAGAGTGTGTTATGGTTTTGATTGACAGTATAGTTGATTAATGTTAGTTAGATTATGTTTGTTTATTTTATTTTTTTATCCTGTAATCAGCTCTGGGAAGTGGGGGAAGGGGGAAGGTGTGGGGGGGTTTATATTGTAATAAATTTATAAAACTTTTAAATAAAAAAAAGAAAGTTAAACTACAGAGGACTAAGTGGAGAAAAATACTTTGTTTAATGAATACAGACAACAAAAAAACATTCTTGTTAATTAATATAAGAGGCCTTGAATGTGAACAAAGAAAAAGCCTAGGCAAAAATTTAATAATAAATGCAATTAAAAAAAATTGACAGCATACACAGTTCCAACACCATGTTTTGGAAGCATTTAACTTCATTGCATGTATGTAAAAAAAAGGTGTAATTACATCACTGTGTCATTGGAGTTGCGGGGATATAAAAGGAGAAGAAACAATACAGTGATATAAAAAAGAACGAACAATATGAAAGTCTATAAAACAGATTACATTCAGGGAAAGAGTAATTACATAGTTGAATTTGAGACAAGACCCAATAAAAGTTGAATGTTCCTATTCTTTGGAACTACGTATCTATTGCATGCAAAGCATTTGACACTAGAAAGTGGATCTGCCATGTCCTTTTTATTGCTAAGAAATTAGTTTTTGAATCTTGAAAGGATAAATGTATGCCATGTTATACTTAAAAGAATTATTATGGTATTATGTACAGCTCACTACAGATGTAGATTATGTATGGATGATTATATTTCCTTAAAAGGCGAAGCACTTATATTTGCTTCTCTTCTCTTCTCTTCTCTTCTCTTCTCTTCTCTTCTCTTCTCTTCTCTTCTCTTCTCTTCCATTCCATTCCATTCCATATTTTCTCTTCTCTTCTCTTCTCTTCTCTTCTCTTCTCTTCTCTTCTCTTCTCTTCTCTTCTCTTCTCTTCTCTTCCTTCTCTTCTCTTCCCTTCCCTTCCCTTCCCTTCCCTTCCCTTCTCCTCTCCTCTCCTCTCCTCTCCTCTCCTTTCTTACCTTACCTTACCTCTTCTCAAGAGTACACATTTGGGGTGGAAAAAAAACCTGTTTTAGGCATGGCAAGAAACCTGGATGCACAATGGATACCTTTGTTCTTCCTGCTTACTGAAGCATGGAAGCACCACATGACCAGAGATCATTTTCTCCTCAATTAAGCTTTTTTCTCTCTATTTATTATCACAACTGGCATCCGGTGCCTATAATCCCTTGGTCACTCAACTGCCTGAATTGCCATTAACCCTCCTTTAATCATGGCATCTATCTTTAGATCCTCTTATTGTCAGCTATTGCTGGAGAGCTGTTTATGGGTTAAGCCTATTTTGAGGTTATTTGTCCGTGATCTGGGTCTGTGCTTTGTGTCATTCTGGTTGTGTTGGGTGAAGGTAGCAATTACGATTTAGACCTCCTGGTGCAGTGGCTGAAACTTTTACTTGCACATTTGAATCTCTCCTGATGCCTCTGAAATCTGCTCCAAATCCACATCATTTGTATTTATTTTATTTTTAATCCCACCTTTATGACTTCATAAGGAACTCAGGGAGGCGAATATACCCAATACTTCTTCCTTCTCTATTTTCTCCACAACAACAACCCGTGTGTGTGTGGGGGAGGAATGGGTTGGGCTGAGAAAGATGGATTGGCCCAAAGTCACCCAGCTGGCTGTCATGCTGAAGGCAGAACTAGAACTTACTAGAAAACACTGTCTCCTGGTGATTGGCCCAAAGTCACCCAGCTGGTTTTCATGCCTAAGGCGTGACTAGAACTCACAATCTTCTGGTGATTGGCCTAAAGTCACCTAGCCGGCTTTCATGCCTAAGGCAGGACTAGAACTCCCAGTTTCCTGGTGATTGGTCCAACATCACCCAGTCAGCTTCCATACCTAAGGTAGAACTAGAACTCACAGTTTCCTGGTGATTGGTCCAAAGTCACCCAGCTGGTTTTCAAGCCTAAGGCAAGACTAGACCTCACAGTTTCCTGGTGATTGGTCCAAAGTCACCCAGCTGGTTTTCAGACCTAAGGCAAGACTAGAACTCACAGTTTCCTGGTGATTGGTCCAAAGTCACCCAGCTGGTTTTCATGCCTAAGGCAGAATTAGAACTCACCATCTCCTGGTTTCTAGACCAGCAACTTCATCTCTAAACCAAATTGCCTCTGCTATATGTGTGTCTCTCCCTTTTGTCTCATGGCGCCAGTATCCCCGTAATATTTTTTCCTCCCTCGAAGTCGAGGACGACTGAAGAAGCAGATGTGGGGGGAGATACATCCCAAAGCTATCTATTCTTCATTTTTCTCTTTCGCTGTTTGCAGGAGTTGATCACCGCTTGGTATATTGGATTCCTGTGCCTAATTTTAGCCTCCTTCCTGGTGTACTTGGCTGAGAAAGGAGAAAATGACCATTTTGATACCTATGCAGATGCCCTTTGGTGGGGCCTGGTGAGTATCTTTTGCTTGCCAGTTTCAGGCCATGAATTTCTGGCTATCAACGTAGCTGTCATGGTTCTGACAGATGAAACTCTTCAGAAGAACTTTGAGGCATTGTTTACCTTAAAGAGTCTTTTATTCAAGAAACAAAGTATCGGCACTACATAGTTAAAGCCAAAAACTGAATTCCCCTCCCCTGGGCACAAAGTAACAAAGCACAATTCCCTCCTCCAATTAACAGTCATAAATCACATTTCCCAATTAGTTTGAAGCACGGGCTTTCTCCCCAGCTTTCCAGCCCGCCAAATCTTTATCAACTCTGGGTGCAATAACCTTGGGTTCCCACGGCTGAGTTATTATTGTTATGACTAGCTGGACTCTCATCCACATTCCCCTCCCAGCATCAACAAACTCTGAAAGCGATAGAGAAAAGATGACTACATTTCCATCTGTTGTCAAAGCAAGAACATCCGATGTTAGCAGGGTTGACAGTAGCATCAGAAATACTGGAAGTCCTCAACTTACAAGCATTCCTTTAGTGACCATTCGAAGCTACAATGTGATTTATGACTGTTTTCCACACTTATGACCTTTGCAGCATCCCCATGGTCATGTGATCAAAATTCAAATGCCTGGCAACTGGCTCATGTTTATGACGGTTAAAGCAGGGGTCCCCAATCTCTGGTCCGTGGACCGGAACAGGTCCACGGCATGCCAGAAACCAGGCCACACAAACGAAGCCCCATCCAGGGGATGCAGGCAGCACACGACACCACGCATCCTCTCTTGTCTGCGAAAAAACCTCCTTCTATGGAACCGGTCCCTGGTGCCCAAAAGTTGGGGGCCACCGGTTTAGAATGTCCCAGGGTCACCTTCTGATAAGCAAAGTCATTGGGGAAGACAGATGGATGTAACAATTGTGTTAATAATAACTGTTTAGTTGTTAACCCATGTTCCACTCTTCATGACCCCATGGACCACAGCATGCCTGTCCCCCCGTCATCCCCTGTCTCTCATGTTCATTGCATCAATGACACCATCTAATTTAGGAGTCCCCAATCTGTGGGCAATGGTCCACTACTGGGCTGTGGCCTACTGGCCACTGGGCTACAGAACAGGCTGGCCAGTATGCGCACGTGTGTGTGTGTGCACTCAACCTCACTCATGCTAGCACTGGCGCCGCTATGCAAATAGGGCACCGCACGGCAAAAATGGGGCGCCACATGGAGAAAACTGGGTGCTGTGTGGGGAAAACAGGGTGCCGTGCAGCAAAAATGGGGTGCCATGTGGCAAAAATGGGGCCGTGCTAGTGCCTGCATAGCAAAAATGGGGCGGTGCTAACGAGTGTCACCTGGGCGCTAGTAGTGCTCCATTTGGATCGCGTGTGCTCTTGGCCCCGTTTGTGTGTACGCACGTGTCTAAAATGCTTCCCCCCTCCCTTCCCCTCCGGGCCTCCAACTGAGAACGGCAGGAGACCTCTGATCTAACTATCTCCTCTTCTGCCGTCACCTTCTCCTTTTGCCTTCCATCTTCCCCAACAACGGGGTCTTCTCTAAGGCAAAGGTCCCCATCCTTTTGGGCACCAGGGATCGGTTCCATGGAGAGAGGTTTTTCTGTGGACCGGAGGGTGTGTGGTTTTGTGTGCTGCCTGCATCCCGTGGGTGGGGCTTCGCTTGTTTGTGCGGACCGGTTGCTGGCATGCTGCGGCCCAATACTGGTCCAGGGACTGGGGGTTGAGGACCCCCACTCTAAGGAGTCCTCTCTTCTCATTAGGTGGCCAAAATATTTGAACCTCAGCTTCAGCATCTTATCTATCGCTCCCCTTTATACAATCTCAAATGCTTGTTTTTAATGCCTAGGCTGACTTATGTGCAGCAGATTCTTTTGATTGTGCTCCTGCGCCAATCTTGACTTTGCAGATTTCATACAACCATCTTTGTTTTCGTCCAGATTACCCTGACCACCATTGGCTACGGGGACAAGTATCCGCAAACCTGGAATGGGCGTCTCCTGGCAGCAACCTTCACTTTGATTGGGGTTTCCTTTTTCGCTCTCCCCGCAGTAAGTAAAATTCTTTCCTTTCCTTGAAAAGAAAGCCAAATCATATCCAGGGCTGTGACTCACTTCGGATGGAAAGCATCTGGATTGCTTCTGATCTCAGAATAGTTGCCAAACCTAGATCGTGCCATTTTTTGTCAGAAGAAGGAACTGTTTTACTCGATGACAAAGTTGAATGCGTCTACAGATAGTCCTTGACTTACAACCGTTCGTTTAGTGTCCATTTGAAGTTACAACGCTGCTGAAAAAAAGCATCCTCACATTTAGCGAATGACTCAATCTCCCCACAAATATGTGATTGTGATACAGGCACTTGGCAGCCATCACAAATTGGCGATGGCCTCAGCCCCCCACGGTCATTTTGTGACCTTCATTTAGTGACTGTTTGAGGTTACAGCAGCACCGAAAAAAGGGACCCACAACTATTTTTTTGCACGTGCAATTAGAGCAGCACCTCCATGGTCACTTGATCAAAATGTGGGCACTTGACAAATGGCATGTATTTAATTGACAGCCTCAGTGTCCTGGGGTCATGTGATCTTTATTTACGCTGTTCCTAGCTAGCTTCCAACGGGCCAACTCAGTGGGAGAAGCTGGATTTGCTTAACAACCACATAATCAGCTTGAAACCTTCAGTGATTCACTTAAAGACCGTGATAAGAAAAGATGTAAAATCAGGCACAACTGGCTTAAAATCCACCTTGCTTGGCATAACAAGAAGAAGGAGGAGGAGGAGGAGGAGGAGGAGGAGGAGGAGGAGGAGGAGGAGGAGGAGGAGGAGAAGAAGAAGAGAAGAAGAAGAAGAAGAAGAAGAAGAAGAAGAAGAAGAAGAAGAAGAAGAAGAAGAAGAAGAAGAAGAAGAAGAAGAAGAAGAAGAAGAAGAAGAAGAAGAAGAAGAAGGAGAATGGACGTGGCAGTGCCTGGAGACAGCAGAACAGACGAGAAAGAACTGGAGAAGATAACAAAATACAAAGACCTACAAATAGAAATAGAAAGACTGTGGCAAAGGCAAGCAAGGGTAGTACCAATAGTCATAGGCTCCTTGGGTGCAATCCCAAAACAACTGGAGCACCACTTGAACACCATTGGCATTGACAAATTTGCTATTAGTCAATTGCAAAAGGCGACCTTACTAGGAACTGCTTCCATCCTGCAACGATATCTGTAATACCATCAAACATCCACATCTGCCTATCTCAGGTCCTTGGGAAAGACTCGATAGGTAGACAAAAATGCCAAATCTACTCTGAACATCTGGCTGACTGTGCGATGATCAATAATAATAATAATAATAATAATAATAATAATAATAATAATAATTTTATGCCTCCCATTTCTCATACAAGGTGGACTCTAGGTGGCTCAGTTGTGGTTGTATGTTGTGATCAAAATTGTGGTCATTAGTCTCTGGGACTTCAGAATTCAAACAGACAAGCACCTGCAACATAACACCCCAGACTTAACAATTGTCGATAAGAAAGACAAAAAAGTCTGGATAGTGGACGTGGCAGTGCCTGGAGATAGCAGAATAGAAGAGAAAGAACTGGAGAAGATAACAAAATACAAAGACCTACAAATAGAAATAGAAAGACTGTGGCAAAAGCAAGCAAGGGTAGTACCAATAGTATAGGCTCCTTGGGTGCAATCCCAAAACAACTGGAGCACCACTTGAACACCATTGGCATTGACAAATTCGCTATTAGTCAATTGCAAAAGGCGGCCTTATTAGGAACTGCTTCCATCCTGCGACGATATCTGTAATACCATCAAACATCCACATCTGCCTATCCCAGGTCCTGGGTAAGGACTCGAAAGGTAGACAAAATGCCAAATCCAGTCTGAACATCTGGCTGACTGTGCGATGATCCATAATAATAATAGTAATAATGGACGTGGCAGTCCCTGGAGACAGCAGAATAGAAGAGAAAGAACTGGAGAAGATAACAAAATACAAAGACTTACAAATAGAAATAGAAAGACTGTGGCAAAAGCAAGCAAGGGTAGTACCAATAGTAATAGGCTCCTTAGGTGCAGTCCCAAAACAACTGGAGCACCACTTGAACACCATTGGCATTGACAAATTCGCTATTAGTCAATTGCAAAAGGCGGCCTTACTAGGAACTGCTTCCATCCTGCGACGATATCTGTAATACCATCAAACATCCACATCTGCCTATCCCAGGTCCTGGGTAAGGACTCGATAGGTAGACAAAATGCCAAATCCAGTCTGAACATCTGGCTGACTGTGCGATGATTCATAATTTTATGCCTCCCATCTCTCATACAAGGTGGACTCTAGGTGGCTCTGTTGTGGTTGTATGTTGTGATCAAAATTGTGGTCATTAGTCAAGGACAACCTGTGATGTTTCAATCACACATCCAAGTATTGCGTAATCTGATTCTTGGCATACAGGGAAGACTTGCTTTCTAATATTTTGTTATTGTGGGCTTTAGTTGGATCGAGTGTGATGAACTAAGATTCATTGTCCCTCATTATCTAGGGCAGGGGTCCTCAACCTTGGCTCTTTTATGACACGTGGACTTCAACTCCCAGAATTCCTGAGCCAGCATGGCTCAGCTTGGAAACCTCTCCCTTTCCCCTCAGCGTGGCTGGCTCAGGAATTCTGGGAGTTGGAGTCCACGAGTCATAAAAGAACCAAGGTTGCCTACTCCTGATCCAGGTGATCTTTTCTTCAACATTTGAGGAACATTTGTGGACATGTGGAGTTTCTTTGCATGTGTGTAATTCTCCAAGGAATACAGCCTGGGATCTTCAGAAGGAAGGAGTAGAAGGGTAAGAAATACCGTATTTTCCGGCGTATTAGTCAACTTGGCGTATAAGACAACCCCCGACTTTGGAGCCAATTTGCATGCCTAGAAAGTTGTCTTATACGCCGGAAACTACCGTAATTCCTGGCGTATAAGACGACCCGGCGTATAAGACGACCCCCCCCCCAACTTCGGAGCCGATTTGCATGCTTTAGAAAGTCATCTTATACGCCGGAAAATACGGTAATTGACAAACCTAATGCGAAATAATACTGTACTTAATATAGAAAATATAGAAACGTTATTGAGACTCTAGAAAGAGTACAGAGAAGAGCAACGAAGATGATTAGGAGACTGGAAGCTAAAACATACGAAGGACGGTTGCAGGAACTGGGGATGTCTACTTTAAGGAAAACAAGGATTAGGGTGACATGATAGCAGTGTCCCACTATCTAAGTGGCTGCCCCAAAGAAGAGGGGGGTCAACCTATTCTCCAAAGCACCTGAAGGCAGGACAAGAAACAATGGGTGGAAACTAATCAAGGAGAGAACCAAATCTCGAACTAAGGAGAAATTTCCTGACAGTTCGAACAATTAATCAGTGGAACTGCTTGCCTGCAGAAGTGGTGGGTTGTGGGTTTCAAACCTCACTGGAGGTTTGTAAGAAGAAATTGGACAACCACTTGTTTGAAATGTATAGGAGGTCTCCCAAGGTCCCTTCCAACTCTGATATTTGGTTAATTTAATTTTCAGGGAATTCTAGGTTCCGGCTTTGCCCTGAAGGTTCAAGAGCAGCATCGTCAGAAGCACTTTGAAAAAAGGAGGAATCCTGCAGCTGGCCTAATTCAGGTAAGCAGAGAGAATGGGTGGGTGGGTGGGGGGCTCAGGGAAGGTCGGATCTCCGAAGAGAGAGAAATGGATCAAGAAGGTGCTGAAAGAGAATCGATTCACGCTGCAAAATCGTCTAGAGCAGGGGTAGGCAACCTTGGCTCTTTTATGACTGGTGGACTTCAACTCCCAGAATTCCTGAGCCACCATGGCTCAGCTTCGAAACCTCACTCTTTCCCCTCAGCGTGGCTGGCTGAGGAATTCTGGGAGTTGAAGTCCACGAGTCATGAGGGGGCCATAATTCCCCCATGCTGGCTCATAAAAGGGCCAAGTTTGAAGAGTCCTATTCTGTCTAGTGCAGGGGTAGGCAACCTTGGCTCTTTTATGACTCGTGGACTTCAACTCCCAGAATTCCTGAGCCAGCCACGCTGAGGGGAAAGGGAGAGGTTTCCAAGCTGAGCCATGCTGGCTCAGGAATTCTGGGAGTTGAAGTCCACGAGTCATGAGGGGGCCATAATTCCCCCATGCTGGCTCAGGAATTCTGGGAGTTGAAGTCCACGAGTCATGAGGGGGCTATAATTCCCCCATGCTGGCTAATAAAAGGGCCAAGTTTGAAGAGCCCTATTCTATCTAATGCCCCTGAGAATGGCAACATTTAAAATAACCCCTGCTCAATTCTAGATTTGGAGGAGATGGAGGAGAGAAGGTGGTACCCCAAACTCAAAACACCCTTCCTCTACAATTCCCACAAACAAAAACAGCCACTAAAACCAGCTACCTAGATCAGGGGTAGGCAACCTTGGCTCTTTTATGACTCGTGGACTTCAACTCCCAGAATTCCTGAGCCAGCCAGGCTGAGGGGAAAGGGAAAGGTTTCCAAGCTGAGCCATGCTGGCTCAGGAATTCTGGGAGTTGAAGTCCACGAGTTATAAAAGAGCCAAGGCTGCCTACTCCTGTTCTAGAGCAAGGAGCTCTGATCTTGGCAACTTTAAGACTTGTGGACTTCAACTCCCAGAATTCCCCAGCCAGCCAACTTTAAGACTTGTGGACCTCAACTGCAGTGATTTGTTTAACAACTGTGGCAAAAAAGGTTGTAAAATGGGGCACGGTTCACTTAACAATCACCTTGCTTAACAACAGAAAATCTGATCATGGTTGTGGTTGTAAGAGGAGGACTTCCTGTAAGTTAAAGATTAGGACAATGTGGTTTCTCCCCTGCAGAATCTAAGTTAGCAATAGCAACAGCACTTAAGACTTATATACCACTTCACAGGGCTTCACAGCCCTCTCTAAGCAATTCACAGAGTCAGTCCCCAACAATCTGGGACCTCATTTTACCAACCTTGGAAGAATGGAAGGCTCAGTCAACCTTGAGTTGGCCAGGATCGAACTGCGGGCAGTTGGCTGAGTTAGTCTGCAATGCTGCATTCTAACCACAGCACTACCACAACTCTTAATAGCAATAGCTCTTAGACGTATATACTGCTTCACAGCGCTTTTTACAGCTTTCTCTGAGTGGTTCACAGCAGAGGTCACTGACCTTTGTCACTTGGTGGACCGGAGGAAAAAGGAGGTGGAAGCATTTTATATGCGTGCGTGTGTGCGTGCATGAGGCTGCGAGCACGTGCACGCCGAAAACGGCATGATACTAGCCCTGCCCTGTTCTTGTGTGGCACAGCGTGTGGTGGTGGCTGTTTTTGTGACTTGCAGTGCCACGGCAGCCCATTTTTGCACCCTGCTGTGTGGTGGCGCCCATTTTCACAACCCATGGTGTGGTGGCAGCCTGTTTTTGCACCCTGAGGTGTGGTGGTGTCCCGTTTCTGTGCCCCGTGGCCGCAGCACTAACACAAGTGAGGGGGTATGCACACACATGCGTGTGGACTTGCCAGCCTGTCCCACAGCCCGGTGGCCAGCAGCCACGGCCCACTACCGGGCCACAGCCCACAGGTTGGGGAACCCTGGTTTACAGAGGCAGCATATTGCCCCCAACAATCTGGGTCCTCATTTTACTGACCTTGGGAGGTCAGTAAAGCTCAATCAACCTTGAACTGGCCAGGATCGAACTGCTGGCAGTGGGCAGAGTCAGCCTGCAATGCCTCCTTCTAACCAGTGCGCCACTAGCAAGTTAACTTCATTATTTGCTTGTTTTATTTTTTTTTTGAAATCACATCTGCCTCTCCTTCCTATATTCTCTTAGGCTGCCTGGAGGTTTTACGCCACTAACCTCACCCGAACCGATTTGCACTCTACCTGGAATTACTACGAACAAACTGTCACCGTTCCCATGTACAGGTAAGCATTTCCTCTGGGTCCATGATTCCTCTACAAGTAGTCCTTGACTTACAACCATTTGTTTAGTGACCATTCTAAGTTACAACGGCACTAAAATAAGTGATTTATGACTGTTTTTCACACTTGTGACCACTGTAGCATCTCCATGGTCACGTGATCAAAATTCAGACGCTTAGAACTGACTCATATTTATGACGGTTGCACGACCCTGGGACCCTATGACAAGCAAAGTCCATGGGGAAGGCAGATTTACTTCTTTTGTCTTACTTAACAACTGCCGTGATTTGCTTAATAACGATGGCAAGAAAGGTTGTAAAATGGGGCAAAACTTAACTGTTTTGCTCAGCAACAGAAATGTTGGGCTCAATTGTGGTTGTAAGTCAAGGACTACCTATATTTCTATCCATTTTGCTTATTTTTTTGTTATGTTCAACAAAATGTTCTGTTCTCATTGTGTGAGTGTGGTTTTTTTTTTTTTTAAACTCACAGGGAAGTTGTTTTCGGAAGTCACTTTTTGTTTTTAAATGCTGGATTTAGATTTATTTCTCCATGGCTTACATTGGTTTATATTAATTTGTTTTTCTTTTCTTGCACATTTATGTTTCTCCGTCTTGCGTTGGTCACCGTCTTTATTTTCCTACACCTGTTCTCGGTGGGTTTTATTTTCTGACAATTGCCATGTCAGAAAGCTGAAGACGATCTGAAAGGCTGGCCTTGAAAAGTAGGTAAAAAAAAATAATAACCCCATTTTCCAGTTCTTTCCCATGACTTTTCTCTTCCTGTAACATTTAGCATTTTGACCTGTGCTGTTTTTGTCTGTGATGTGGAAAATGAATTGTGGAACATCCTTTCTGATTCCTTCCCTGATCAGCCTAGAGCAGGGGTCTTCAAACTTGGCCCTTTTATGACTTGTGGACTTCAACTCCCAGAATTCCTCAGCCAGCATGCCTGGCTGAGGAATTCTGGGAGTTGAAGTCCACAAGTCATAAAAGGGCCAAGTTTGAAGTCCCCTGGCCTAGAGTTACATTTCTTAACCTCAGCAACTTTAAGACGTATGGACCAACTCCCAGAATTCCAGAGCCAACATAGCTGGCAGGGAGAGTTGAAATTCATACATCTTAAAGTTGCTAAGGTTGAGAAATAGTGGCTTAGAGTAACTAAATAATTTCAGTTTCTAACAAGAAATTTAGTGGGGAGCAGAACACATGGAGAACACGGTTACCAATTCTTTGTGAAAATAATCTTCAGGCAGAATGATGGTCACAGCATAAAGTAGCCTCCTCTAGTATGTGTCTTCCAGGTATATAGGAACTGCAGTTCCCAGAATTCCCTGGACTCTGCTGATTGGGAATTTGGGGAAGAGAGGACCCACTCATTGGGAGAGAACAAGATTGGGGAAAGTAGCCGTAGATTTATTGACTCAGCTGCATTAAGAGAACTTTTGCTACTATAGAAATGGTTGTAGTTGATTGGTGAGATTGAATACTTGTAAATTCTTTCTTTTGTTGAATGAGCAAGGAGCAGAATCTGGCTGTTTGGATGTAGAAGCTAAGCAATTTCAGGCCTGATTAGTATTGGATGGGAGATTGGAAGATTGGAAAACAATTAGAAAATTAGAAATTAGAAAAAAATTAGAAGAAAAAGAAAAATTCCCAAGAAATGACAATGAAATAAAATGAACAACATCACAACATTTATTGGAGAGCAAGCTTGATGTAGTGGTTAAGGTGCTGGTTTAAAAACGATGTGACGGTGAGTTCTAGTCCAGCTTTAGGCATGAAAGCCAACTGGGTGACTTTGGACCAATCATCAAGGAATGGTAATTTCTAGTTCCACCTTAGGCAGTAAAGCTGGCTGGGCGACTTTGGACCAATCACCAGGATATGGTGGTGTCAAGGTTCCAACTAATGAAACCAAATAAATCAGAACTCTGAGGCTTGAAGTTTCCTCAAAGAACATGTTTATTGGATACATAATATCGGCAGAGTCAAAAGTGAAACCAACGCTAAAATTCTCCTTAGGAATTCAGTGTAACTAAATGTAACAGTTCCCTCCCTTCTGCTATGCTATTGATCATGCTAGCCAATAAAAGAAATTGACAGGCTTCATGAAACTTCTTCTCTCCACCTTCCAGCTCTTGTGGGAATGACCTTGGTTCCCATTGGACCACTCCGTGTTTAGTCTAGCAATGCTGTCCTTTTCTTTTCCCCTCCCCCCCATCCTGTGGCAACTTAGAATGACAAAGATGGCTTCACCCAGGTTCGTTTCAGAAGTTGACAGTAAGTTCTAGTCCTGCCTTAGTCATGAAAACCACCAGTGGGTTTGGGCCAATCACAAAGAGAAGGTAAATTCTAGTCCTTGACAAGGCTTCAAGCTCTCATGGTCTTCAGCTGACCTGAAGCAGTTTCGTTTCTCCTTCTGCCCACTTGAAAGTAACACCTCCCCTCCTTAATCTAAAAGGCAAGTTGAAACACAGAGGCATGTAGCTGCCAAAGTTTCATTTTTGACAGGTATAGGGTTTCGTGCTTGAGCAGGGGGTTGGACTACAGGACCTCCAAGGTCCCTTCCAATGCTGTTATTTTGGTTTTGAGTTATAACAACTAACAAGGAGGACATCAGATTGAAGAAGCTGATCTAGGTGGTGGAGGCGTCCACCAGAGCTTTACAGTCAGATGTGCGTGCATTTAGGGTTTATTTTACTTAATTATTAAACAAATATATATGGCTGCCATCCCAGTCACACACAGCTGATTCTGTGTGGCTTACAACAATAAAAATCTGGAGCATAAAAGCCATAAGGCCCCATCCTTAACTCCTTCCTCAGCCCCCCCCCCAATGGCAGCAGCAAACCAAACAAATCAACCACTTGATCTGCTCCATTCTCCATTCGTGATCCCCAGGCTCACTGACAAAACCATGACTTCAGGACCTTTTGGAAAAGCCACAAGCTGCTAAATACAGGTCATCCTCGACTTACAACCACTCATTTAGTGACCATTCGGAGTTACAGGAGCAATGAAAATAGTGACTTATGACCGTTTTTCACACTTAAGGCTCTTGCAGTATCCCCATGGTCAGGGGAAGGCAACCTTGGCTCTTTTACGACTCGTGGACTTCAACTCCCAGAATTCCTGGGCCAGCCATGCTGAGGGGAAAGGGAGAGGTTTCCATGCTGAGCCATATTAGCTCAGGAATTCTGGGAGTTGAAGTCCACGAGTCATAAAAGAGCCAAGGTTGCCTACCCCTGCACTATACCAAACTGGCTGTCTTTGCACCTAAAGCAGCATGGTATTTGTTTCAGTAAGAGCAAATGTAATCTTGTCTCCTTTTTAAAAAAAAACAAAAACAAAATCAGATCAGGAATCCTGGGTGAGGCCCAAATCCTCCCTGTCCTTCTGGATGAGTGTGTACCAAGACGATGCAGTTCAGTGGAGGCCAGTCAGACGTGAGAGATTTCAGCGGAGAGAACCTTGCTTCAACAGAGAGTTGATCAGATAATCACAGACCGCTGTGTTTCTCCTGGCTTATTTCATCATTTCTGCTTGCTTCGGCGCCTCGGATATGCCAAGATATGTATTTGGAAGCCTTGATATAATCGCTTTGCTCACACTTAGCAGGAAACAACCCCTTGATCTATTTTTGTAGAGCTTCTCTGGCACCTAAGCTAAGCCAAGCTCTGTCCTTTGAATAATTGATTGGGGTGGTGAATTTTTAATCTCCTCAGTAAGAGTTGTTGTGATCAAATTCACTTCTGGGCAAAAAATTTGCTGCATTTCTGCAAGGGCTCTGCTAATGTCCCTTGCTTCTCTGCTTGCAGTGGTAGAGAAGACTTTGAATAGCGAGATGGGCAATTTATCAATTTGATAAATAAACATACATACATACATACATACATACATACATACATACATACATACATACATTGACAGGTGAATCCTTGCCAATTGGTAGATGTGGGCGACTTATCAATTTGATAAATAAATAAATAAGTAAGTAAATAAATACGTAAGTAAGTAAGTAAGTAAATAAATAAAAATACATAAATTGGACAGCTGAATCCTTGCCAATTGGTAGATGTCTGACAGGATGGACCTGGTTTGTACCAATGTTTAAAAGCTCTGAGCTATTCTTTTTTTTTTTTCAAAATTTTATTTATAATACAATTAAAAAACATTGGATGTAACGTGACATTCCAGTATATACATTCTTATCAAGTTGTTCCCCATTTTACAATTGATTCTTCATCTATAATTATACATCTACGTTTTTTAAATACAGTACTTATTCTAAAATAACATATATTTCTATCTTAATGCTAATCTTTAATCCCAACCCTCCTCCTCGAATCCCTCAAAGCTATTCTTAGAGAGTGTTTCCAAATTATAATTTCAGGAGTTGTTCTGGGCAATGTTTGAATGGGAGACCACGAGGCGATATATATATTTGGCAGTCACAGAATGTATGATTTTTGTCATTAAGTCGATCCCCAACTCAGCGCAAGAATCCCATAAACCACCCTTGATAGGTAGTCATCAAATTCCTACAGTTTTAGATGGATCGCCCCACTGAATGGCTATTCTTCACAGCAGGATATTCCTACTAATATTCATCAGGACTCTCCTTTCTTAAAAACAACAAAACTTGAAAGGGCCATAATATTCCAACCAAGAACGTGGTATGAGGATAACAGAATAACATAATAACAGAATTGGAAGGGACTTTGAAGGTCTTCTAGTCCAACCCCCCCCGCCCCACTCAAGCAGGAAACCCTGTACCATTTCAAGACAAGTGGCTCTCCAGTCTCTTCTTAAAAACCTACAATATTGGAGCAATCACAACCTCTGGAGAGCATTCATGCAATGCCGCTCTACATCAGTACAATGTGCTATAGAATAGAGTAGAGTAGAGTAGAGTAGAGTAGAGTAGAGTAGAGTAGAGTAGAGTAGAATGGAATGGAATAGAATAGAATAGAATAGAATAGAATATTGAATGGAATAGAA